TTTTTTTTTTTTTTAAAGTTTGCAAGATAATCGAATTTACAAAAGTTAAAATATAATAGTATCATAGTATATGGATATGATTGTTCTTTCAATGAAGGAAGTCATTGTTTAAACAGGTATAATAAAACTATGATCTATGCTTGATTTGACAGTTATAAAATAGAAAATTTTTTTTTCAAATGCAAGAAATGCATTATTGCCCCACTAATATCCCCACGAAAAAATTTTTTGTGTACGATCTGCATGCAGGTAATGCGCCTTAACGCACATATTAAATCCAATGCTCATCTAATTTAAAAAGAAGGAAAAAAAACTTCTCAAGTGACTGCGGTTACTGCGCCACGCATCAACAATGGCACATCACATAACTATTTTTACTGTAAAGGAATTATGCTGCAAGTGATAGTCAGGTGATTCTTCGTTATATACGCCTTTGGGTTTAGTGTTAAAGATGTAAGGTATGCAGGCGTAAAAATAATTAATAAATATGGAAAAATTACAAACTATCTAAATAATTTATTTATTTATTATATTAACTAAATTGTATTATTTACCATATAAAAGTACAATTTGCAAATCTTCGAGTGGGGAAATTCGAGATTTTTTTTTTAAAAAAAAAAAAAAAAAAATTCAAATTCCTTATTTCATTTTTATAACTTTTTTAATTATTTTTTTCCTTTTTTTTTTATTTTATTTTTTTTTTTCTTAACTTCTTCTTCTTCTTTCGTAATATTAGTATGTTTATTCCTTCAAATTAAAAAAATATTTTAAAAAAGAAAAAAAGGAAAAAAAAATATATATATATATATAATCATGGTATTATTAATTGATAGATTATTATTTTTTTTAACAAATCTTTTTCTTTTATTATTTATCTTTCCAAGATTCATCGCTCAAAAATTGGGTAATAGGTTGGTGGTTTATCGTCATAAAAATCCACGCCAATTACCTGTAGATTGTCTTATTGAAATCTTGGGATATTTGGAAAATGATACTTCTACTCTTCATTCTTGTATCTTAGCAAATCAACTTTTATGTTTTCTTGCTATTCGTATTTTATGGAAACGTCCATTTGAAAACGTGTATCCGAATAATTTTGGATCGCTCACAATTAGAACTTATATCTCTTGTCTTTCAGATGAGGAAAAACAAATTTTATTAAATAATGATATAGATATTCCTGATTTAAATCAACCTTTTCTTGATTATCCAGGATATCTACAACATTTTGATTGTGATAATTTTATATCATCAATTCACGCTTGGTTAAATGGTGCTATGATAGATTATCCTGAAGATGATTCAGTTCAACTTACTTCTAGTCTTATTGGTAATATGATTTGTAGAAGATCATCAGGTTTTAAAGATCTTAGATATTTACGTAAAGCACCTGATAATTTGATTTTGGTGGATTTATTAAATTATACTGGGGTTAATGAAGCTTTTTCTAAATTACAACGATTTGAATTTCGTAATTCTCATTACGCGGATGAAAATTTTACGCGTGGTTGGATTAATCTTTTTAATACCGTATCTATTTCAACTAAAAATTTACAACATATAACTATTTATTTAAGTAAGAAAAATCGAGAAACATTTCAAGAACTTGATCAATCAATAATAGAATTTATAAGATCTCAAAGGAGTTTAAAAAGTATATCATTAAATACTTTTTGGAGGACAATAAATTCAAGATCAATTTATGAATCTATATTACATCATTCTCGTTCATTAGAATATTTAAGAATACATGGGTTATCAGATTTACCCATGTTATTTCAAGTATTAAGTAATTGTGATAATCTAAAAACATTAGAATTTGCTCAAAGTTGGAGAAGGGATGATAATTTCGATTTTGGAAATATAATACCTTCATCATTAAAAATAAATCATTTATATTATTATTTTTCTAATGCCCATTCAGTAGATTTTATTAATACTATTTTAAGATTATCAAGTAACAATTTATTATCTTTTTCAAGTAAACAATTTACACCTTTAATTATGACAACAATTAATACTTATTGTCCAAATATAACTCATTTATGTGTAAATTTAAGACCCTCAGATCTTACTTTATTTATTGAACTATTATTAACTACTTTAAAACTCAAACATTTAACAATACAAACTCCTTATGCTCCTCGTTTAACTAAAGTTCAACTTTATCAATTAGCTAAAGCTTTACCTGTATCTTGTGAATATTTTGGCATAGATTCTGAAATTAATTATTCTCATTTAGATCATTTCTTAAGAAATTGTCATGAAAAATTAAAAATATTGACTTTACATCATATATCAGAAAATCATGTAAATTGTTTGGAATCTGTTATAGCTTATGCTATAAGTTTTAAAAGTTTAAAAGAAATTAGACTACAAAAGGTTAATCATAATTCTGATATAACTGAATATCAATATAAAAAATGGTTAAATGAACAATTATCAAAAGCTTCTACTGCTCCAAGACTTACGAAACATCCTCGTCATCATTTAGTACATAAATTAAAAATATCCGAAGCAAAACCAATATCATTTAGTTATCATGGTAAGTTATATAATATATATATTTAAATATTTTGTTTTTTTTTTTTTTTTTAAAAAAAAAAAAAAGAAAAAGAAAGTTATTAACATTTTCTTATTTTATTTTTTTTCTTTCTTTCTTTCTTTCTTTTTTTCATAGAAACAGTATTTAATTCAAAAATTATAAACTTTACAATTTAGAGATGATATTATAGATTAAAAAAAAAAAAAAAAATTTCATTGAACAATTACATTTTAGAATTTACATTAAAAAAATAAAAAATAAAAATATTTATTACTTTTTGTAAATAATAAATAATTAATTACTTTGTCAATAATTATTGGTATTCATTGGTATTCAGTAATCCTCGTAAATAAACTTTGTAAGAAACTTTGTAAGAAACTTTGCAAGAAACTTCGTAAGAACTACGTAAGAAACCACGTAAGAAACTACGTAAAGAAACAATGTAAGAACTACGTAAGAAACTACAACGTAAGAAACAACGTAAGAAACAACAAAGAAACTACGTACGAAACTACGTAAGAAACAACGAAGAGACTACGTAAGAAACAACGTAAGAAACAACGTAAAAAATAACGTAAGTACGAAAGAAACTTCGTAAGAAACTTTTAAGAAACTTTTAAGAAACTTTATAAGAAACTTTATAAGAAACTAATATATATATATTTTTTCTTTTTAACAGATTCGAGAACATCGGGTATTTTCCCCCTTTAACTAAATACCATCGAAAGATTTCAAAGATACATGAAGTTATTTATACCAAAGTACTTGTATGGATGAACCGATTTGAAAACTTTTAACATCAAATAATACGCTGAATAATAATTCCGTTTCGGCTCAAATCCCAACTTTGGCGTAATCTTACGAGTCGCTACATTCTCGACATATGTTTTATTACTCTTTTAACGAGTTATTTGAAAAGATGGAAAAATGGTCGTAACTTTATGAACTTTTATGATTCTGTCGTTTATCATATAAAATACATTTCTTACATATTAGAAATACTAAAAACTAATAACGTAATAGTGATATCCGTTTAAAATGAGTGAAATCCAAATTATCTCGGAGTTCATCTCAATTAGTATTCGCTTTTTGTGTTGATGAAATCTTTATATTTTTTCTTTTTTTCTTTTTTCTTTTCTTTTCTTTTTTTTTTT